TTTGGTTTTTATACCAACAAAATTGTATATGTAGATTTTTCCTTGATCAAGAGAATGAGGTGTACAGAATTTGAACAGTTTGAATTAAATTCTTAATAGCCTTTTACTTATTTTCCACGATAAAGCATTAAGCGGCTACAAAAGTAAAAATGTCTCTCCAAATGTAATGAACGGGAAAATACAAAATTCGCCTTACGACTTCTGCATCGAAATTGCAAATAATCATTTCTATTATAGGATCGGTAATGGCATCCTGGTTCGTTCGTAACGAGCACAATAATAAGGGTGTACAAGAGTGAAACAGAATTGTAGAATATTGCCCTAACTTTAATTTATAATATTGTAGGCAAATCTGGAATGTGTTGGTAGCTAAAGCGGTTGAGATATGTGGAATTACATATCATCACTGCTGCTCTGTAATGGAAATTGTGAGATCACAATTACGTTTAATGGATACGGATAAACTCATGAACTGAAACATTCAATCAAATATTGTCTTTGTAACATCGTTTTCACCTATGCTCAACTAGCTGTAAATTTGAGATATAATCAAATTAGAAATTGATAATTTTGAACTAGACCTTTTTCATTAATTTTTGTTTTCACTGGTAACAAAGTTTCAAAACAAATATAATAAACTAATAGGACAAATAAGCACAGCAACTGATATTTTTTCTATATTTATTTTTTGTTTAACTAAATCTAAAAATCTAAACTATCTATTGTTAGTCTGAAATTTTATTTAATAAGTTCTTCTACTACACATTTTTGGTGAATAATTCGATAACACAAAATTAACTCAACATAGGAAAAACTCGAATCCCATTCTGCTGATAGCATGCACACAGAAAATGCAAATTCAATGATAAAATCATAAAATAAACTTCTGATGAACATTTCAGGATAAATGTAAAATAAATTTCATACCATTATCTAATTCTGGTCCTTATGGACAAAGCCATAAGTTGCTATTAATTTCTATTTGCTATCTTATCGATTTGACGCCCTTCTTGATTTTAAGGAAAGCTCTAAAATGGTTATAAAATTTAATATTAATCAATACACAAAAATGAATTTACATGCGTATAACCTTAAACTTGTGAATATCTTTTTTCTCTGTAGAGTTCTGAAGAGCCGCAGAGGTTTCAGCGGTCTTATATTTTCAAATTGGGCTTTATAGAGGAAAGAACCTTTCCAATACAACCTCTATCTACGATTGACTCTAGAGCAGTCTGTATCTCAAATCATTATAACAAAATATTGGCCAATTTTCGAATACCTATCGCCTTTCCGTACTACTTTCGCGGTTATATACCTAAAGAACCTATGATAAGCAAGTATCAATTTTACTATGACAATAAGTGTCACGAAAAGATAATTGCCAGATGGTTAGAAACATCTTGAAGTTTACTTTTTACTTTTTCAATTTCCGGTTGACAGCTAAGTGACATTGGGTGACTAAATGCAGGAAACAAAATAATAAGCCATTTCCCTTAAAGACTATAACGTGTCTTCAGGCCTATAATTTTACTTAAAATCCTTTATGGTCTTTATTTATTGCATAGAAGAGGCCAATATTTATAATTAGGTGGATAAATTCCAAACTATTCCGAAAATCTACTGAACACCCTATTTGACACTAGTGACAGTTCTTAGTGACCGTACAAGAAGAACATGCATTTACCCAAGCGCACCAGCATTTTCCTTGAAATATCACAACTTTCTAAGCTGCCATTAATTGTTAAATAAATAAAGTAATAAATGGAACTTACCTATCTTGTAAAATAAGGTTCAACCTTTAAAATGGGATGTCGTGCGTCTCAATCCATCCAATGGAACCAGAGATATGGTAAAATTTGTGCGCGCGGAGACGGAAAATGTAAGATATTTGCAATAACTTTGGTTAAAGTTAATCTTTTTTAATTTTCAAAAAATCATAAAAAAATGTAGTAGCTATAATAATGAACTTTTTACAGCCATTTAATTTGTTAATAACAATTAAACTGACTACTTTCAGGTTTTGCAAAGTTTTTTGGATTCGGGAGGTCAAAATAGGTAAGAATAAGTTGTTTGCAGCCGTAGCACTCTGATTGACCACGTAACCCTATCTGGCTCCTAGACTAATAGCTAAGTCATTCTTCGGTCGTTTCACCGATAGTATGCCGATAAGAACTAATAAGTTCGAAACCTATCTACATCCACTGATTTTACAGACAAATAATCTTAAATGTCTTGTATATTTGCTGGTGTAATTCAATACAGGACAGGATTTCAGTCCGCAAAATAGTTACTTTCCGCAATGTCATTAGGTAAAAACTATTAGTATTATTTTAAAGAAATATTTACTATTTGATGTTACTTTCTCAAATGTCGTTTTCTTTTTTTCTTTTTTTATACATTTGAAATTTGGTGTGCATAGTAATGTATTTGTTATTGCCTAAACTTAAATCCAGCTATTTAATAAAATGGCCAAATCGAAAAAAACGACTTGTCTAAATTATTTTGGTCTTGATATATATTGAATTTCAGATGCGCAATGGCGGTTGATCAAATATTTAAATATATAATATAAAATCATTATTAAATAATTATATTTACCAAACCTAAATACAACTTTTGCACAGATCTTGTGTGTTTGTTATTACTACGCCGGACTCTTCATTATTTGTGTTTCTCGTTGTTCTGATTAAACAAAAACCAGAGCAACATTTCAACTAAAGTTATGACCAAAAGTATAAATAGTTGCAAATGTCAATTCTCTTCTCCCTAACTTATCCTATCCTAACCTAACTTAACCTAACCTAGCCCAATCTAACATAACCTATCTTTAATATAATAAACTGTCACGTAATACTTTTGTAATTGTCACTCTTTATATTTTCATTATTTTATTATACAGGGTGGCCAAATGAAAACGAAACAGAGCCATTTTCAGGAACTGCGTCAAGATTGTAGAAAAACGTTCAGACCCGTCGATTTTAGATTAAAGGGGAACATTCTTTGCTGGTATTTTTTACTCCGCCACTTTCACCCCCAAGCAAGGGTAAGCATCACCCCAAAATATTTAAATGGCATTGGGAGTTGAGTAATATTTCTTTTGAAAGCTCTTACAATTCTCTTTACAACAGACTTTAAATTTTATAATTCCGCCAAATACTATTAAGAATTTTGATTTTAAAGTTGAAACTTATGTACAAACAATTAGTAACGGTAAAAATGTCAGTCAGTCCAGTTAAGTACGCCAATGGTATAAATTTAGTATTTCGTGCGTTACATTGGTTTTTGGCGATTTGTTATCACTTTCGTAAAAAAAAAAAAATTGTAAAAAACAGAAATGAATACACACATATGAACGTAAAATTAGTGGATTCCAAATTATTTTCTAGTATTATTTGGAAGCGTTGGTTGGTAGTTTATTTAATTGTGTTTTTGAAAATTAAACACTATGGTTTATTCCATTGAGGAAAGGGTAGATATCATTTCGCTTTACTTTATGAACAATAAATGCGCGAATAGAACAGCTCAGCTATTTAATGAACATGAAGATCGACATGTCAGGAAGAAATATGTTCTAGAGTTAGTAAAAAAATTTCAAGAGACAGGGAACGTAGCCAATAAAAAACGAGAATTTGAAAAACCTATAATTAATGAAGCTAGTGAAGTTGCAGTTTTGGGATAAGTTCATCGTGATCCTACAATAAGTACGAGGCAACTGCCATCTGTGTCTAATAACAATCGAACTAGAATAGAAACCATTTTGAAGAAGAATAAATTCCATCCGTACAAAATACATTTAGTCCAGGAACTTCATGAGGATGATTATGACCGCCATTTGCAATTTTGCGAAATAATGAGTGAGCGAGCAGGAAACGATCCACAAGTTCCTTTTTAGCATCTGTTTTTCTGATGAATGCAGTTTTCTATTGAACGAAACGGTAAATCGTCACAATTGCCGCTATTGATCCGATTCAAACCCAAGAGTTTTTTACGAGGTGAATACACAGCAACCGGAAAAATTAAATGCATGAGATAGAATTTTCGGTGACCGGCTGGTGGGTCCTTTTTTTCTACCTGGGAATTTGACTGGCCAAATGTATTTGCAATTACTGGAAGACGGTATTGACCCTGCCTTGATTGATATTATTGAAAATATTCCAGAATATGATGAAGATCATTTGATTTTTCAACAGGACGGTGCTCCTTCGCATTATGCGTTAATTGTCCGTCAGTATTTGGACCAACGTTTTCTACGGAATTGGATTAGGAGATGAGGCAGCATTGAGTGGCCTCCACGATCACCGGATTTATCGCCCCTTGATTTCTTTTTGTGGGGATACCTAAAAAGTAAAATCTATAAAACACAGCCAGCGTCGCTGAAAGATTTGCGTCAAAGAAACGTCAACGAATTCCGTCGAATCACTCCGGAAATGCTTCGGAATGTGCGCGAACGTTTCGAACAAAATCTTTATTCTTGTATGGAAGCGGGCGGTCATCAGTTTGAACATTTAATCAAGTAAGTAGTAAGTAAGCAACTAAACATAATTTAAATTTTAAAATATATTTTTTTTTTCAAAGTATTAGGCGGAATTATAAAATTTAAAGTCTGTTGTAAAGAGAATTGTAAGAGCTTTCAAAAGAAATATTACTCAACCCCCAATGCCATTTAAATATTTTGAGCTGATGCTTAGGTACCGTTGCTTGGGGGTGAAAGTAGCGGAGTCAAAAATACCAGCAAATAATGCTCCCCTTTAATCTAAAATCGACGGCAACTGAGCGTTTTTCTACAATCTTGACGCAGTTCCTGAAAATGGCTCTGTTTCGTTTTCATTTGGCCACCCTGTATTTTCGGGCTAGTATATGTTTTAACGAAGAATTCTATAAGCAGATAAATGGCCCTGAAATATTATTAATGTGAATAAAATCTATTATATAAAAAAAAATAGATTCAATGTAACCCCCAGTAGTTCTAAATTTTCTATAAAACAGGTGCAAGTACTCACTTGGTTCATGTACAGATTTCTCAAGTTTCTTTGCTGTCACCTCGACCAACAAATTTCCTATCTTACTTTAAAACATATCAGAAACTATAATTTTCAGAAAGCCAGGCACGGAACTTTCAAAGAAGGAGACAGAAGTAAATGCAAATAGCGAAGTTATGAAGTCTGATCTCATGATTTTCATACCGTGACTCCACTACGTAAATATTTTCTTATCAAGTAATTCCTCATTTGAAGGCCAAGGTTTCATTATTCAGAGAAGGGCGATAATAAACAGTCAGCGACTTATTCAGTAAGTAACTTATTCCAGATCATGCCTACGATATCCGAGCTCGCAGATAATCGGCAAACACAATGAATACTTCCTTCTCGGTAAATAGTTGGAAGAGTTGTTTAAAATATCTGGTACTGTTGGCGTAGATAAGGTAATTTCCATGTTTTCAGTTTGAGCATTTATTTAACATTTTACCCATCAAAATCCGCCTAATAATAATAGCAAGTCCTAAAGCAAACAACTTTAGGAAGGCACCCTTTATTTGCATTTAATTAAAAATTAACCATCGAAACCCTAACAGGTAAAATGTATGTGTATATAATAATTTAATGTGATGTATATAAATTTTATATCGGACATCCGTCTGTTAGGAAATCAGTTATTTAAGGACCTTTCAAAATAAATTTTTCGCAACACTTTTTCTGTAATAAAGAACAAACAAACAAAAGAATCATTTTTGTCGATTTAGCAACCAGTGCAAATCAAATGCATGGTAGTTATAACTTTGTATATATTTTTCGTTAGTATGTATTCTAAAGATTAACACAATACACACATTTTCTATATAAGAGACCTGATCTTCAAAGTATATTTGCTTTTAATCATTCCAAGTCTAGGCATAATATAAGTATGTAAACTAAATGAATTCATAAGCAGAACATGAAAAAGACTGGCTATTTGATGATAAACCAGTGAAAATTCAAACACACACACACATCATTCCAAATCACAAATTAATTTTGAGTATTTACTATAAAATGAAACGTGAAAAACTTTCTTAAAAATTTCTGTAGGAATATATGCCCTCAGTTAAACTTATTTAACTTTATTATTTCGCAAATAACATGCTGAAGAAAAATGTATAAAATAAAAATAAATATAAAATATAGTTGAGGACGTAAATGTCAATAAATTTTAAGGATAAAAGAATTTTAGCATTTTGTTAATACTACTAATACTACTACTTACTACATATTTAACACTATGAAGAATAATTGTTGTAGTCTTTAAAATGCAATCATAAATTATCTACATTTTCAGTGAGATACCTATTTCAGATTAAGCAAAACTGAATTTATAAAATCAACCTTCTTTTATTGCAATTGGCGTATCTAATATTTTTTCTTTTCAGTGGCAGAAATATTCCATTAAATAAAAAGGCGTACATATTCTAGAAATTGGGACAACGCATTTGAGTTCCATATTTACTTACAAGAAAAGGGGTGTCTTCTCATCTTAAAATCATAACATAGACTTAGAAAGCACCTTGTGGAATGCTTAGTTCCCTAGAACTTTACCATTAGGTGCTAATAAAATGTAACTAATATAGAAAGCAACTTGGAAATATTGACATAGATGTACAAGCAGGGTACGACACACTTAGGAATTAGTATTTCTGTTAAAGTTAACAAGCAAGTGATATTGTTTAAAAGATGCCTAAGATCTGCGGCTGTTTTCAAGGAGATTCTACAAAATTTTAATCAAATCTATTCTGTGCTCTCGAATTGATTTATTTATTTATTCAAAACGTGAATCCAACCAATTTTAATACATAGTATCTCGAAAACGAAACAAATGACGACCAACGTTCGTATGAAACTGTTTGCTTAAAATTAATTCTTTACATGAATCCTCTGTAATCAAACCCCGACAAATCCACTTTTTACCAAAATTACCTTTAAATCTATTTACAATATATATTTAAAATTTGCTTCAAAATTCTACAAATATCGTGCGCCTTGAAATCAAATCCATTTTAGCCAATAACAAGGCGCCATTTAATCACGTGATGACAAACTCTCTACATATTACAAAACAAAGTCCTCCGCCGTGTATGTCTGTCTGTCTGTTCACGATAAACTCAAAAACTACTGCACCGATTTTCATGCAGTTTTCACCAATGGATAGAGTGGTTCTCGTGGAAGGTTTTAGTATATAATTTGTTAAGTTTTTGTATACATTAACGATATTTGTTGGAGGTGTCGGAAAAAAATAAGCCGTCTGGGAGCTTTCAACGAAAACGCTGCCTAAACCCTTTGAGATATAACAAAATAATGTATGGTGGAATTGTGTATCTTATATAGGTCTACAGAAAAGTCCGTAATGGCATATGTCTATCTCTTACTATATCCATTTTATTACTTTAAAAAATGGGCAATTATAAAGGTAATTTGTGTGAAGCATTTACACAAATACGGTATTAATCATTATCATTTTAAATACCTTAGTTGGCTTGTGCCTTTCATGAAGATTATTTTTTCCCTTTACACCATGCAAATTAAATGAATACTTTAGGAGTAAATCAAAATAATGCGCCAACGAAATTAATTTCGTGTCACCGTGATTCGATCGGGCCGCGCGGGCGCCCCGTGACTCCGCGCCTCGCGACCGAGCCGGAGGGTCCGAAAGTTTATGTAGTGTATCAATGTATGGTGGAATTGTGTATCTTATATATGCCTACAGAAAAATCCGCGATGGCATAAGTCTATATGTTAAAGATAACATACTACCTATATCCATTTTAATACTTTAAAAAATTTGCAATTATAAAGCGGTAATGTAAAAGCTATTTACACAAATACGGTATTAATCCTTATCATTTTAAATAAGTTAGAGGCTTTAAGCAACTCTTCTCTTTTACACCATATAATTTAAATGAATATCTTAGGAGTAATCGCAAAAAAATTACGGACGCGAGAATAAAATTCAAGCGCCTCGCTTGATGCGATCGCCGACCCTCCCCCCGCACCGTCTTGCCTAATGTTTAGCTAATAAGCCGTCTTTAGGTATATAGATATATCCTGAATTATTTTAAAATTAATATTAGGGTCGCATTAGATGAAAGATGATTGATTTTTTGTATGTTACGATTTAAATCAAAAACTACTCAACCAATTTTACCGAAAGCTACATCTCTTCGGAGTAACATAGGCTATTTAATATTTGCCCGGGCGAAGCCGAGGCGGGTTGCTAGTGTCTAATAAATTAGAAAATGGACAGCATTATTGAAGTAGACGAGTATTTAAAAATTTTCTCTGACCATGGAACTGTCTTGAAACTTTAAACAGTTGTGTACAACAAGTGTATGTAACCTTTTGCATTCAACAAGTCAGAGAGATTAATATTAACAAACAATAGGAATAATGTCCTTATGGTTAGAGGTGAACAATCGCACAGGTCTGATTTGAGAGTAAATTGATCTATTTTTAAGAAAGAAAAAACCTTAAATGACGTAAAGAAATAAGAAAAAACTAAAAGACGTCAAAACGTTGTTGATCAAACACTATGGAGAAAAATGGGAATAGCAAAAACCACAACTTCAGTATTATACAAACATACTAGAAAATTGCACAGAGTTATGTGGTGTGGGCTATATTCCAGTAATGATTGTTTAAATACGCTTCAATAAATATTAATATACCGTTTATATTTTAAGGAAAACATAATATCAAAATAAAATAGTATTATTTGAATTATTTTGAATATCAATATCCGACATGTAAATATGTAGACAAATTAAGTGTTTTTAATATAATTTTCGTAGTGCACATTTTACTGTAGTCTAATATCATTTCAGTCAGTAATTTGTATAAATACCTATATCTTATCAGTAACATACTGAGACAGTTTTTCTCGATTTCCCATAAATATGCCTTAACAGATTTGTCGGATTCTGGTTTTATAGGATTCAAATAACGTTACTGAACACGCTGTATGTTTCATTTAAATGATATATTAAATTATTCTAATTTTCACCTATGATCGTATGTTGTCAGTGGTTAGATCGTTTTGGTTTTTAAAACTAGATAAATACATACATTTCTTCTCCACAGGGAAGAAGCCTTAGAGGCCTTGAAAAAAGTGTTACATTTATGTTTTCTTTTTTTATATTGACTATAATTTACTTTAATTATGATTGTAATACAAAAGATTAATTTACTGCTATTATTTATTTCAAATGTATCCATGACTGTATGTAACCTCTTGAACTCTTATCTACTTAAAAGTTGTTATTTATCCTCCAAATAAATTATACATAACACCTTTGTTATAGTTCCAGAAGCCGGGTTTCCTCATTCTTTTTTCCCTAATTGCATTCGCAGCGAAGAGCTGCCTGTTTGTTAAAATATCGGCGACGTCGAACAAAGCGAATTCGTAATTCACAAGTAAACATTAAAGCGACTTCTCCCGCGTTCCAAAATTAATGAACATTTTAATGAACACGATTCGGGAAGCTTGTAAACTTCTTAAACATAGTTTCAATTAATAAATACCCGAAATTTATCCATAAAGCATTGGCTGGGAACGTTGTGGAGTGAGAAAAAATTTTCAAGATATTCCTCAAACCCCGGAACGGAGTTTTCGAGCTTCATAAAACTTTTTTGCAGCTGACTACGTTCTAAGTATTTTATTACGTTTTAGGCATACTTCATTCGAGTGAGCGTTAAAAAGGAAGAAAGTGGAATTCATTTGCAATAAAAAATGGCAACTGATTAATAGTAATGTCCTGGTCTTATGTGTATCTACAATTTTACGTCCAAATGCATTTTGTAAAATTAATCTACTGAAAAAATTAGTAATGAATAACATGTATTCGACAAATTATGTCGCAGGGTTTCAAGGGAACCAATCTGGACAACGATAAATTGATGAATCTACGTCAATTAAGATATTATTTACTGCATTTTAAAAATTGCTTTTACAAGGGAAAAAAGTAGCAAAATAGCCAAATATTATATGTACAAATTACA